CTTACTGTTCCCGTGATAGTGAGTTCTCACAAGATCTGGTTGTTTAAAAGTGTGTAGCATTTCCCACTGCTCTCTCTTCCTCCTTCTCTGGCCACGTAAGATATGCCTGCTTCCCCTTCACTTTCTGCAATGACTGTAAGCTTCCTGAGGTCTCTGAAGCATGCTTCCTGTCTAGCCTGCAGAACTGTGAGTCTATGAAACCTTTTTTCTTTATAAATTACCCAGCCTCAGGTAGTTCTTTATAGCACTAGGAGAATGAGCTAATACACTTTGTAACTCTATTACTGATTAACATGGCATATGTTGTCCTCACTTGTGATCAAGAGATTCTTGTGTCTGACAACATAATGAATGAACTCTATTCATGCTTAATGAGTTCTATGTGTGTTGTAAATATATATAAAAGTACCAGAATTAAAATTCCTTTGTCCCATCAATTGACTTAACTGACATGAAGTAGTAGCTATAGCAATCATTAGATATTTAAGACACATATCAATGAATTTTTGTGCATGTGAGTAACGTTACATATGAAATATTTTGCTAACAGTTATTGACATTGAGAAAAATTGTGAATAGGTATAAATAAACCACATCAGAATGGTTGCTCAAGGAAGTTTGTTTTGTGTAATAAATTTTCCTGACAGAAATATAGTCATCTGAATATATTCCATTAAGTGTTTACCTAAATGCTATATGAATTCTGTAAGCACCTATTTTTTATGGGGATGGGTTGGTTGTTTGTTTCAAAACGAAAAGCGTGTTCAAAACACCAACCCAGCATCTTTTCCTCTCCTTCACCTGTTGCTCACTTTATTCAAACCTATATACAGAAAAAGGGTTCATTAATCAAAAGCAATGTTAGCATTAACCTCTTCTTTTAACCCTTCATAGCCACTGACAGTGTTACCAACATATAATTTTTTTTCTAGCTGCATTGTAGAAAAAAGTTTAGTTAGATAACCATGGTAAGGCTAGAAAGACATGTTTTGATAAACCTGGAGGCTTTCTTTCTCTGCCCATTTCTCTGTGAATTAAAATCATGCTCAATAAGATTGCTTTTGGAATGTGAGATTGGCCTTGAAATAGTACAGATGAGAGCAGAACTTTAGTAAAGATGATAAATATAGTATCACAATATTTTTCATGTTGACATATGTTTGACATGCCATCACAGTATTTTGTGTGCTAGTGGAAAGCACTAAAATATTATAAATACAAGGCTAGTTATCACAAAAATTTAACATGAAGCTTCAAAGTTTTATTCCTAAAAATTGGTCAGACAAGCATAAAATCTCTCGGCCTTACTAATGATGTGGAAAGAATTAGTGATGTGTGATTAGAGTATTAATTATTCACCAGCTAATGGCCAGAGAGATGAATTGTGAGACTTTTCACACTTTATTTAATGAATTATATGTGAACATCATACCATTCAATATTAAAATATGAAAGATTTGTGACGAAAGTGATATGCACATGTTCTCCACATTTCATCTGCAGAGTACTTATTAATTTCCAAAAGAGAAATTTCCAGCATAGGAAAATTGGTAGGTTGCTTTCAGGGGCTGGGAGTGGGGTGGAGTTGCAAATAGAGAGTGACAGTTAAGGGGTAGAGGGTTTGTGAGAAGCAGAAAAGTTCCTCTTTAAAGTTTCCTTTCTTGTTAAATAATAAATCATAAGTGTGCTAATAACTGTTAAAGCCCTATCCTATGTAGCTGTTAGACACGCCATGCTTACAGGCACGTGGTACATTCTATGTCCTTGTACTTTAACCAAGATATCTATGCTGGACATGCTCACAAGCATGTCCCAGCTCTCCATTGCTTTTACCTGTTTAGAAAAGTTTTAAGTTGTTAGCCAATAGGATTTTAGTTTAGATTGTGAGGTCTGACTCCAGTCAACGGAGAAGAGACACAGCAGTAAGGATGACCCCAAAAGTGTAAGGAATAAATGTTTCTGCTTTCCTTTGTTTGTTGTGCTGTCATGACAGTTTGGCTAGCGAGAGTACCCTTCCTGCAGTCCAGGAGGTAAAAATTGTGTTGCTGAAAGATCCTTTGTCTCAATGCTGATTTTTCTTTGTGACACTGAGCATCTGTTTCCAACAGTTTCATTTAAGGACGAAGAAAATCTTCTAAATTTTCTAGATAGTGGTGATGGTTGCACAACTCTGTGATTATGTTTTTAAAAAATATTGAATTGTACATCTTTGAAAGATGAATTTTATGGTACGTAAATTACATTTCTAATGCTGCTGTAAAAAGAAATGAAGACATCTGGTGAACGCAACCATAACCAAATGACCAAACACAGTATCACTAATAATGGGAAACATGGCCACAAATAGTACAAGCCCATTTACATCACTTTCATTAATATTCACATCATATCTTCAACCCTCTTATTACCAGGAATATTCATTCTGTTTTTTACCCAGTAGAACTATTGTAAATCACACATGCCTGAAAATAGTTATTTAAATCTTACAATGGAATTGAAACTCATAAAGGGTCTTTTCATCTCACTATTACTGTAATACTGAGTATTTTTTAGAATAATTCCTCTGTCAGTAACCATTTCTGTCTGTATGCATTGGCATAGTGAATTCATAAATATTACCATTGTTCCCTGATTAAGTAACACAAATTGCTCTATTTCCCCAGAAATATTTTATTAAAATGTAGAGTATTGGTACTACCAACTGTATGTCCCTTTTTCTGTTTTAATATATTTTAATACTAATGTCAAAGAGTGAAGTATCCGTATTCCCATGCCATATTACTTGTATAATTTCTGTATTATATCCTCTATGAAAAGAATGTGGTCAAGTCAATTTTGTATATGTCGGCTATTTTTTACCATAAGGAACATCTGAAATAAAATGTTATCTTCAGCAAACTAGATTTGTAAGAGAAACAAACAAACATTATTATATTTATTTCCACTTAATTCTTGAAGTAAAATTTATTTTCAATATTATTTTCCTTCATTCTTCACAATTGTAGAAATATTTCAAGTGCTAGTGTTTCTTTTGTTTGTTCATTTGATAGTTGTCTTAGGTAACTTTGTCTGGAAGCTCACTTTCAGATGAAGACTCATGGATCTGTGCATTATTAAGGAAATGTTCTCCTCCAAAAAACAAATAAGGGGGTAAGAGAAGTAGAACAGGGAATTGATCACTCCAAATAAATGTGACACTTAAATTTAAATCAAAATCTCAACAGCAACCTAATCCCTTAGGTGTCTCCAGAACTGAAATGACATCCCAATTTTTGTTGGGATTGGGTTGATTGAGCTGAGATTTGAAACTTCCACAACCACAGGTGTTGGCTATGGGCTTGCCCTCGGATGCACCCAGGCAATACAGGTATAAGAGCAGAGCATCCATAGAATTTACTACTGCGGTCTTTTTTTCCTTCTATAGTCCTAGTTAAAACAAAAAATAATAATTCTTATTCTATGATGGTAGCAATGATGGTGCCTCTCTGTAAACTATGTCATTTAATCTAAAAATTGTTGATTAAATAATAGTTGATCAGCTAATGAAATTTTGATTGGTCACTATGTTTAGCACAAGTGTACAATTTGTAGAAGTACTGATTTATGCTATCAAGGAAATTTAAATCTAAGAATGATATCATATGGTAAAAATTACATATAGATAGGAAATGTTGTCCTGAATAAGACCATTTGATACATGTGCTTAGGATCTATAGAATGAAAGATAAGATTAGTGTTTGTTAATCAAGATGATGTTGAGTATGTATTTTACATATAATTTTAATACATATCAATTTATAAAGAGAAAAAGGTAGTGCATTCCTTTCTGAAAAATATTTTATGCGGAACTGTGGTAGAAATCATTCAATTGCATGTCACACATGTTTACCATTAATGTACTTGGTAACTCATTATATTTCAGGTACGAACATTTTTTTAGTTTCATCCTATTCTTTATTTACTTACAGTTACTTGCATTGAAAACATGGGATTTTGACATTTTTACCTCAGCAAGTAACCATAAAGTAGTAGTAGATGATAGATGGCTGATTCAATAGTGATATTTTCTTGGTATACTATAATGCAAATCTGAAATTAATAAGGCAGGATTACAGTGATATAGATATAGAACATAGCCCTTTTATTTAAAAAATCAGTTCCACAAGAATAGAACTGTCATATAAGATAGACAGCCCCAATATACTTTAAGAGTGTTTTGTGACTGATAATAAGACAATTTCACAATACTTTCATAAAATAGAGTATGCAGGTTGTAATAGAAGGTAATAGTACTCTGTTCTCATTGAATAACTTTTGCAGTATTGCTTTCAGTCCTCAGACACATTTAAAGAAGGATAAACACAAAACAAAAGGTCATCTAAATAAATGAGATTGATATGTAAGAGATGTGGAGACCTTACGGTAGAAAGAATCTTCGAATGTCCTAAATTTCTGAAATCTGAAGAGAAACCTTAGAGAAAAAATAATGACTGCATTTAAATATTTGAAGAACTGTAGTGGGCTTCAGATTGTAAGTTTTGTTCTGCATTGCACTGGAACAGAACTTCTGCAGTTACAGCTCTCCAGATAGAAAATGGGCTGTTTCTGTGTTGTGAGTATCATCTGGTAGTATCTCCCTAATAGTGTCATCCAAGGCTACATACCATTTGTCAGGGACTCCATAGAAGAACATGAGTAAATTAACTCTGAGACACCTTCAACTCCAAACTTTCCCAAATCTGTGTTTTTGCACCTGCACAGTTACAAGCTGTGTTCTATAGCACACTTGACAGTGAAATTTATGTATGTTAAAATCTTTAAAAGTAAAAATTTAAAAAATGATTAATATTGAATAGCTGGTTAACAAAAACGAAGTAAGTAGAAAGAAAAAATGAATAAATCATGTCTTCATCATCAAAGGCATCTGGGATATTTAAATTCATTCAATTTACTGCATCTGAAATTTTTATTGTATTGAAATGCAATGTTTTCACTTTCAGCTTTTCGCTCCCAGTAACTGCAACCGCAGAAAACTGCATTCTTACTACTTACCAGTATGTGGCAATTCATCTGGATAAGCAAAACATTATTTTAAAGAATGGTAAGCTATGTATGACTTATTTATCTCTAACTCTCACTGTATAGGTTATTGGCCAACATCTAGAAATAAAGTGAATTGAAAATTATCAGTTGTTTATTAAACAGCTGCCATTAGTAGGAGCTGTGCTTGTCATTGAGAGTAGAATATATATGTCTCTTAAATCCAAAAATTGACAGTCTAGTTTGAACAGGATGATTTGGACCGAAGACAATATAACAAAGCATGTGGGTGTGACAGGAGATGTAAGGCAGGAAATGTAGGTACAGGACCATAATGCTAAGCCCTTTATTCTATAGTAGTGGGAGCCATCTGTCATTTTTTGAGTATCAGTGATTAGAAAGAAAACAATTCCTGGGATGTATGATGAATTAAAGTGGGACAGAGTATGGTCAGTAGACCAGCTTGGAATTGCTGCAGGGGAAATTGTGAGAGAAGCTAAGAATACTAAACAAGCTAGTGAGCAGGGAGAAATAGGAAAGGCAAGATACAGGGAAGTACATTAGAGAAAGGAGGGAGAGCAGGTAACAACAACAACAAATCCCATCTCTGTGGATTGTCAAGGTCTTAATTTTCAGTGCTGAATTAGAGGTCTTTTTTGTTTGTTTGGTTTTAACCAGTTTTCTCATATTCTTCACTTGTTTCTTCAAGCATTTACAACTCTCATAAAACATGTTTAGTTTTATTCTACCTCAATCTCAGGAGATGATTCTTTTTTCTTACTATTCAGAAGAAATAGAGGCCATTGGGCAGTACCACTCTGAACTTCCAGATACCCTCATGGATTGGAACTGGATTGTGACACACGAGTCACAAGCATGTATTGTGACTCATTTTACTGGTCACAAAGCTGGGGGCCAGTACTGTCTCTTGCCTTAAGCCATTCCTTTATCTGAATCCATTTACCCAAGTACCTTTCTGAATCAAGTAACCTTGCCTATCTTCATTTCTATCTCCCTCTTAGCTGCTTTGAGTAAGCATCTAGGAAGACAGCAGAGGAGAAAGGAGACTATATCTTCTCAGTACCCAGCAGGCTCATCCCCAAAGAGCAAAAAGGGTAGCTTCAGGCCATGCATCCCTTATTAATTCTTTCCAAATCTAACTGTAAGATAAATCACTCAACTTCCCAAGGAGAGTGAGAAAAGTAGCAGAGGAAATTATGCAATTAAAATACTTCAGCTGCCTTTAACAGGAAAAATTTCAGGGATGAGGAAGAAGAATTTATCCATTATGCTGCCATTACTAAAATACTGAGCGCAGCTAAGACTATTGACTATTCTTTCTCCATCTTTAAACTTTCTCTGGGTTTCCACATACCATACTTCTTTTGGTCTCCTTTAACCTCTCTGACTATTCCATCTGAACATCTTTCATAGATTTCTCTTCCTCTAGCTATACTTTTAAATTATTTGTGTCAATAGGAATTCTGAACCCTCTCCTCTTCTTCCTTCCATGACTTCAGCTATAATCCATGGGCTATATCTCTAGCCTAGTTTCCTCTCAGAGATTCAGCAATTCAGAATTCAACTGCCTTCTGGATACCATTCACTGTATTCACATAGGCATCCCAAAAACCAACATATTCCAAACTGAAGTCCTCTCTCTGAAATTTTTTTTCTCTATATGCGCCATCTCTGTGTTTGTACCTATGGTCCATCCAGGTGCCAAATCTGGAAACCTGAGTGCCATCATTGGCAATGTCTTCTCTCTCACACTCCACTTCCAGTCCGATTCCTGTCCCTTTTGCTGCCTAAATATTTATCAAATCAATTCACTTTTCTCCCTCTCTGCTGCCACTACAAACATTCAAGCTGCCATAATATCTTTCCAGGATTGTTGTAAGGGTTTCTAAACTGTTCTCCTACCTCCTACAATGGTCTCCCCTTTCACAAACCTACCCTCATGCCATGGCCACAGTGATATTTACAAACTGAAAATTCATTCTTTAATTCCCAGGTTTAAAATCTTTCCATAGAATGATTGCTAGGTAGATGAAGCCTGCAAGACCACACATGTTAGCAAGTGGCTTTGTTCTCATTTCTGGACATTTTTTGCTCTATGCTCAAGCCACATTAATCTTCTGCAAGTTCTTTGAGCATGTTGACCTTTACTGATATTCTATCTGGTGACTGGAGCATTTTATCCATGATACCATACACAGTTATAGAAGATCCCTGCCTCTGCATTCAAAAAGTATGTGTTTCTCTGGTGTATCCTCAGTTCTGTGCAATTCTTTTGTCACGGTCCTTGCTACATTTTGACTTATCCTGCCTATTATCAATGTCTATTTCCAAATGCTGCTATCTATAAAGTCTGTGAGAGTAGGAATCACCTCTCTCTTTTTGACTATGTGTCCGTAGTGCCTCACACAGTGTCTAGCAGATAAAAGGTCTTTGTTCAGTATTGTGAAATCAATTATTTGAATTATAAACCATCAGGAAGGTATCTTTTAGCTATATATTTTCATAAAATAATGAGTTATATGTGGAATAGCATATTCTGAACACCAAAAATTTATTTTAAAGTAATTTATGGAATAATGCAGTTGGCAGAATGGAGATATACAGGGAGAGATAGATATCTCAAAATTTTATCACACACTGTCAAAATTTAAAGCTTTTTTCTGACTAATATTAATATAGTATTTTTATATTCTATACTGCAAGGGGGAGGATTTCAGAATAATACAATGTAATAGTTATGAAGAGTCACACAAATTGGATGGCAATTCTCATTTGTGTTCTAACCACATTATTATGCCATATGATTTTATTTTTATTCTCAAATCTTCAAATTTACCGTCTTTTATTAAGGAAAACATGCATGACAGAACAGTAACAGAACACTGATATCTGTTTTACCTATTTAAAAGGGCTTTTGTGAGGACCCATAGACTGCAAATACATGGAAATTATTGTTATTAATATTATTTCAATATTATTGCTATTATCACTGTGGTTGTGATTGCTTTATCACTTTTGTATGCCTTATAATTTACTTCCAGAAAATAATGATTAATTACTGGCCAAAAAATAATATTGTGATCTCTTTAAAAGAAATAAATAAAACCTGTGTGATAGATTATTAAGCATAAAGTCTATGTATTAAAATAAAGCATCCATTTGGGGAAATATTTCAAAAGAAATAAATTATAATTCTTAAATATTCTAAATATCTTTAGAAATATGTATAGTAATAATTTCTAATGTATATTTAATGCTTCCCAGGTATATGGTACTCTGCTAAGTGCCTTATATTTATCCTTTAAATTAGTCCTCCCAGAAGTTCTGAGTTAGATGCTCTTACACATCTCGCTTTACAAATTAAAAATCTGAATATGTAGAGAGGGTGAGCAGATTGTCCCAGGGAATTCTAATGAAATTTGAGGCCTCAGAACCCACACTCTTTGGTACTATGTGCTAGGGTATTATGTGATCAGCGAAGGTAAAATATTAAAATATATCAATTATATCCAAAAGTAAAGCAGCATGAATATTTTAGAATTGCTCATCTGCAAAATTCTTTCAAAAAGTAAATTATTGAGTTGAGTTGAAAGGGTAGAGATGTGGTTTTGTATTCCACTAGGAACTTTTTATCATTTAATGGTAAGTTAAAAACATTTAACCTAATGCATCTACCACACATAATTCTATCATTGAGTTCTCTAAGGCTCACTTCTATGAATTCTATAGTGGTGTAGCATTCTGGAAATAATGCACACCTATTGACTACAGAGTCTCTGGCAAATTCTGAATTACTCTGTTATGAAAGAGTGGAAGAAACTTAGCATACAATAGCTCATTTATATTTGGTATTGCCTTTAAAATAATCTTCACAACAAACTCATGAGCTCAGAAACTTTGGTCTCATTTTATGGATAAATATATGTTTTAAATAATTCATATAACATACTCACAATTTAACTTGTCAGGAGTAGAGGTGCCAAGTTTTCAAATTAGATTTTTCTAACTGCAGAGTCTATGCATTTTTGACAGAATCAGACTGTCCCAGACTGAAGCTGGGACTTGATGCCAGGGCAGGGATTGGACACTGGACCACATGGAGGACTAGCTAAAAGAGAGTCAGGGCAAAATCAGCTTTCTTTCTTTCTTTTCTTTTTTTATTGGTGAGACAGGGTGTCCTTCTGTCTCCCAGGCTGGAATGCAGTAGCACAATCACGGCTCACTGCAGCCTCTGCCTCCTGGGTTCAAGCAATTCTCATGCCTCAGCCTCCCAAATAGCACCACACCCAGCTAAATTTTGTATTTTTTTGTAGAGTCAGGGTTGGGCAGACTGGTCTTGAACTTCTGACCTCAGGTGATCCTCCTGCCTTAGCCTCCTAAAGTGCTGGGATTATAGGCATGAGCTCTCTTGCCTGGCTGCAAAATCAGCTTTCAATCAGACATGCCTACCAGTGTGCCATGTCAATTTACCATTGCCATGTCAACATTTGGGAGTTACTGCCCCTTTACATAGCAGTGACCCACAGATTACTCCCCTTTCTCTAGAAATTTTTGCATAAACCACCCCTTAATCTGCAGGCCATTAAAAATGGGAATAAATATGACTGCAAAACTGCCCTGAGCTGCTACCCTTTGCCTAGGGGTAGCCCTGCTCTTCACGGGCAGTCATGGAGCTTAATACTGCTGGAGATGTAACACTGACTCTTCAATTAAGCTGTTTACTTCTACCTCTGGCTTGCCCTTGACTTCTTTCCTGAGCAAAGCCAAGAACCCTCGCAGGCTAAGTTCTACTCTGGGTCCCACCTGCCCTGCATCAAGACTATGAATGTATGTAAATTGCATATGTATTTTGAGGCTTGGCCTTAAGTCACTCCTACTGGCTTTTCTTGGTCAGCACTGCCTTTGGTTGTATTCAAATGGACATTGTGGCAGACCCAAATATATGTATAACAACTTTAACTAAAATTGAGATTGAAATCTGTACAAAAATGGTATCAGTTCATAACCAAGCTGTGATATTATTACAGAGAGTTAACTAGGAAGAAATTACTTTTTCTGGTGTCTCTTTTCCTCTATCTTATTTTGAACACCGTATATAATAATTTCATGTCTTTTGATTTAGAAACATTTAAAATGTTTTCATATTCTTCTTTATGCTAAAGTTGAAGATTGTTCATTCTCTAATAACTTTGATGTACCATAAAAATTGCCTTACCAAAACATTCATTTAGTTTAGAAAATTGTATCAACTTTTATGTTATTTGTTTCCTATTTGACATCTTATTTGATGTACAGAGGGCGTTTGGTTTTTTTTTTTTTACTTTGTCATAGATAGATAGATGGATACATAGATAGATAGATACATCAATAGATAATGGATAAATTCCCATTAAATAATGGGATAAAGAAGTACATGAATGCATGTTTTACTTACTATGATTCAATGTGTCATTTGTAGATAAGGATGAATATCTTAGGAAAACTAGAGACCTTGTTTCGCCTCCCTGCCAGGATGCTAAATCATCCTCTCCTGCTTCAATTAAAAAGAAAGACACCACTAGCAAATTAAATGATGCTGAACCTGCAAAGGGAAACATATTTATTGGTATGTAGCAGATATATAGTGTACTTCCCAAAATTAGTCCATGACATGATCTGCTTAATATCATTTAATTTAAAAGTTAGGTTTTTACAAGTAACAAGAAATTCATGAGGAAAATTGTGAATTTGTCATTAATATTAAATAGATCATCTCTTTGGAGAGTTGTCTTCAAGGGTCAATAGCATAACTTCTCTAATGTTCTTGATTCATAGCACTTTAACTGTTTAAGTATTTATTTTCCAAAGCCAAAATGTACCACATAGTTCCATGTATTGAATGCATTGGGACAAAAATATAAGAGTAGTAACTTATGTGCTGTCCAACAGATGTTGCAGTAATATTTAACTAAAATGTTAAATATCCTGTGGAGCCTCTGTAAATTTACTTGGACATCCCAAGCACTCTCTGTGCACAGTTTGGGAACTGCAGAACTAAGGACTTGACTCCTCAGTATCTAAATGTAGTCAATGATTCCTATCTTAGAAAGAGGTCAGCACAGATAAATATGTGGAGTTTCGTACTATGATTTACAATTAACTGTTCAAATATTCCTTTCTCTGGATGTAGGTAATATTAAAAATTTTTCTTTTTATTGAATGGACCAAACCAAATTAAATAATATGAGGTTTTTAGTGAGTGTGTGATTGTGCCATTATATAGACAGATATTTTTGGGAAAAAAGATGAAATTATTTTATATTCTTGAAAATTATTTTAACTTGAAAATGCTTTTATTAAAGTACTTGTTTTGGATAGAAAGTCACTTGGGATCTAAACCAATATTATGTTTATATAATTTTTTCAGATGAGGTTAAATATTTTCTAATACATAATGCTGAAGATTGTCAATACATTTTATTAATGTAATAAAAAATGAAAGATTCCACTTCAGGGAATATTTTCACATACCGTTATGGAAAGAAGAATATGTAACTTTTATTTATTGAAATCTACCTATTGTCAAAACATTTCTGTTGGGTACTTAAAAACAAATACATTTTCATTGTTTATTTTTAAGATACAGTAAATTGTTTAAGAATTTCTATGCAAGCATAGAATAATTTATAGAATAGGTTCTGTTAGTCTACATACAAATGACAATAACTGAAAGAATATTTTACTCCTGGTCATGTAGCCCTTTTTTTTTTTAACAAACTAATTTAAATTTTAGGAGTGGAAGCAGTGCCTGAAAATTTGCACCTGGGTAAAAGTGAAATATCAAAGAAAGATAAGAAAAAATGTGAACAATTCCTTTCTCTTGAAGAAGAAACAAAGGCAAACTGCTTTTTTGAGAGAGTTGTAAATGCAGTACAGATCTGGTTCAGCCTCTTCGGCTGGCCTGAAGGACCCCATTCTCTTTGTATTCCAGGGTCTGTAAGAAGGTAGGAGTCACATGTTTCTCTAAATTCCTTGCTTTGTATCACATCATAAAATACAATCTATTGATTGAGATTAAGTGAAGTACAATATGAAATAATTTATTCTACACTGATATATCACGATGCATCTCATAATTTATTGTTATTGCAAGAAGAGTAAAATGATGCAAACACACATTCTTTAGTATAATGTCATCTTTAATTTCTTTTAAATATCTGTTAATTTTAGGCAAGCACGGAAAATCTCTGAACCTCACCTTCCTCATCTGTGATACGAGAAAGGTTATACTATGAGTAGTATAACCCTTTAAAAGTTGAAAATTTTGTAAAAAGTTGAAAGCCCTTTTAAAGTTGAAAATTTTGTAAACTACACATTGCTGTGTAAATAAACTATTAGCCCCAGATGGAGATTATGGCCAGGTAGATAGGTAATGGTATTAATGAATAGGGAGGGATCACCTTTCTTTGACGTGATTTCTTCTTTTACAGTGCATTTACTTCCCTTCTTTCATGTGTTGTTCTATTATTCAGTACGTCTAAAATAGTTCAACTGTTTTGGTTATATCATGTGACTTAATTCTGTTGTTAAACAGGAGTTTAGGCCTATTACTTGTTATAATGTTGGTGTAGTATGTTCTCAGAATTTTTCTACCTGCTTTCTCAGCAATGAGGTAACTTGCTGCAACCATGGTGGGGAGTGGAGTACTCATACCGATAGTGGACTATGGGCTATTTATATAATTTCTGCTCTATATTAGAGAGACCTAGGTAAAACTAAGGCTACAGTTTTCCTGTATGTTACCTTTTTCATGTTTTTTAATTAATGGGACAAATCTAGCTTCATGGAATGAATTGGCTAATATTTCCTCTTTGTCCCTGCTGTGATAAAATTAATGCAATAGATACCCTGAAAATTTATCATTTTCATCATAAAATCATTTGGCTCCAGAGAATTTTTAACAAAATTATTCTATTATAACTTCAGTTTTCTGTTCTGGGGTTTTGTCTACTGAAATTTTTACCTGTTTCAATGAAATTTTAATGACTTGTTTTCATTTTGGAGGAAATTATTGATTGAGCATTTGAAACTCATTATTCAATAGATGTGACTAATAGTTATCTTTAATTGTACTTTAAGTTCTGGGCTACATGTGCAGATCATGCAGGATTGTTGCATAGGTACATACATGGCAATGTGGTTTGCTGCCTCCATCCCCCGTCACCTAGTCTTCCTGGTTTTTATTTCCTTTATGCAGTTGTATGTATTTCTTCATTTCCAACTGTAATTTTATTTTTTCTTGATTATAGGTATCAGGAATTTAATTTTAAATCTCATATAATGAGTAAATCCTTGCATTAACTTTCCATTTCTGTGTTTTCTAAATCATGTAATACTGATTTTTTATAATTTACTTTTTTTTAAACCTGAATTGTATACTTAATTAATTTGAGGTCTATATATATATATATCTTTTTTCTCCTTTAACTGCATACCATAATTTTTGTTACTAAGAAAAAATTTCTAGTTTTCATTTTTTTATAGATTGAAATTTTAGTTTTTATTTTCTATATAATATTACTATAATAGTGATTGCTAGTTTGTTGCATATTATGTTATTGCATAAATTTATCAGTATTTACTTGTAATTAACATTAATTTTGGGGCATACTTGCTATTTTATCATATTTTTGTTTAGTCTAGATGCAGAAATAAATGCATTTGCTTACAAATGGTAGCAGACACTTATAGATACTATATGGGAAGCTTCTCAGAGGTGGGATCACTGGATCAAATAACATAAACTTCTTAAAGTCTCTTATAATACATTGTTGGATTATTTTTTAATAAGTGTTCTGTATTAATCCCACTAATGAGATGCATTGTCAGTCTGGTTGTTTCCTGAGGGAATTGAGTGCTGTAACACTTTAAATCCCACTATTTTGACAAGTAAGAAACAGCCCATGTTTCTTACTTGTCAAAATAGTAATCGGGAAAGGCAGTTCTGGAGAAATATGGGAGCCTTTCTAGTTTTGGGAAGAAAGATACCCACAACCATAAAACTGATGAAAAATTAACTTTTTCCAAGTAATGATATTATTCAATGCATTTTTTAAACTTTTAGTTTCAGGGGTACATGTGCAGGTTGGTTCTATAGGTAAATTGCATGTTGTGGGGGTTTGTGGTACAGATTATTTCATCATCCAGGTAATCAGCATAGTACTCAATAGGTAGTTTTAAAATCCTTACACTTCTCCCAACCTCCACCCTCAAGTAGGCCCCGGCATTTATTGTTCCTGCTTTGTATCCACATATACTCAATGTTTAGGTCTCACTTACAAGTGAGAACGTAGTATTTGGTTTACTGTTGCTTTGTTAGTTCACTTAGGAAAATGGCTTCCAGCCCCATTCATATTGCTGCAAAGGACATGATCATATTTTTTTGTGTATGTGTAGTATTCTGTGGTGCATATGCATAACGTTTTCTTTATCCAATCCACCACTGCTTGGCATTTAAATTGATTCCATGTCTTTACTATTGTGAATAGTGCTGCAATGACATACGCATGCATGTGTGTTTATGGTAGAATGATTTATACTCCTTTCTCTATACCCAATAATGGGACTGCTGAGTTGAATGATAGTTCTGTTTTAAGTTCTTTGAGAAATCACCAAACTGGTTTTCACAGTGGCTGAACTAATTTACATTTCCACCAGCTGTATATTAGTGCTTCCTTTTCTTCATAGCCTTGACAACATCAGTTATTTTTTAACTCTTTAATAATAGCCATTCTGACTGGTGAAAGGTAGTATCTCGTTGTGGTTTTGATTTGCATTTTTCTAATGATTAGTGATGTTGAACACTTTTTCATATGCTTGTTGGTCTCGTATATGTCTGCTTTTGAAAAGTATTTGTTCGTGTCCTTTGCCTATTTATTAATGGAGTTGTTTGTTTTTGACTTGTTAATTTAAGTTCCCTATAGATTCTGGTTATTAGATGTTTGTCAGAGAAATAGTTGGCAAATCATTTGTCTAATTCTGTGGGTTGTCTGTTTACTCTGTTGATAGTTTATTTTGTTGTGCAGAAGCTCTTTACTTTTATTGCGTCCCATTTGTCAGTTTTTGTTTTTGTCACAGTTGCTTTTGTAGTATTCATCAAAAAATCTTTGCCTGGGCCTACATCTCAAATGATATTGACTAGATTTTCTTCAAGTATTTTTATATTTTTGGGTTTTAAATTTAAATCTTTAATCGATCTTGGGTTGATTTTTATATATGGCATAAGGAAGGGGTCCAGCTTCAGTCTTTTGCATATGGCTAACCAGTTATCCCAGCACCATTTATTGAATGGGGAGTCCTTTCCCCATTGTTTGTTTTTGTCCACTGTGTTTAAGATCAGATGTTTGTGGGTGTGTGGCCTTACTTCTGAGCTGTCTTTTCTGTTCCATTAGTTTATGTGTCTATTTTGTACCACTACCATGCTGTTTTGGTTACTGTAGCCTTTTAATCTAGTTTAAAGTCAGGTCTAGTTTAAAGATGCCTCTAGCATTTTTTTTTTTTTTTTTTTTTAGTTAGTATTGCTTTGGCTACTTGGGCTCCTTTGTGGGTATATATGAATTTTAGAATAATGTTTTTCTAATTCTTTGAAGAATGTCATTGGTAATTTGATAGGAATAGCATTGAATTTGTAAATCACTTTGGGTATTATAGCCATTTTAACAATATGGATTCTTCCTATCTATGAATGTGGAATGTTTTTCCATTTTTATCATTTCTGATTGATTTGAGCAAAGTTTTGTAATTCTTGCTTTAGAGATCTTTCACCTTCCCAGTTAGCTGCATTCCTAGGTATTTTATCTATTTTGTGGCTGCTGTGAATGTCATTACATTCTTCATTTGGCTATCAGCTTGGGTGTTATTGGCATATAGAAATTCTACTGACTTTGTAAATGATTTTGGATCCTAAAACTTTGCTTAAGTTTAAAAATCAAATCTAGGAGCTTTCGGGCAGAGACTGTGCGGTTTTCTGGGTATGAAACCATAACATCTGCAAACAGAGATAGTTTAACTTCCTGCCTTCCTACTTGGATGCTCTTTATTTCCTTCTCTTACCTGATCGCTCTGGCCAGGACTTAACAATACTATGTTCAATAGGAGTGGTAAGTGTGAACATTCTAGTATTCTTCTGGTTTTCAAGGGGGATGCTTCCAGCTTTTGCCCAGTCAGTATGATGTTGGCTATGGGTTTGTCATAGATGGCTCTTATTATTTTCACATATGTTCCTTCAATGCCTAGTTTGTTAAGGGTTTTCAACATGAAGGGATACTGAATTTTATTTAAAAAAACCTTTTCTGTATCTATTAATATGATCACGTGTTTTTGTTTTCAGTTCAGATTATGTGATTCACATTTATTAATTTGGAATGTTGAACCAACCTTGCATCCTAGAGACAAAACCTACTTGATTTTGCTGTGTTCACTTTTTGATTTGCTTCTGGATACAGTTTATTAGTATTTTGCTGAGGAGTTTTGTATCTATGTTCATCAACAATATTGGTCTGAAGAATTTTTTATGTCTCTTCCAGGTTTTGGTATCAGAATTATGCTGATCTCATAGAATGAGTTAGGGAGGAGTCCCTCCCGCTTGATTTTTGGAGTAGTTTCCATAGGAGTGGTACCAGTGCTTCCTTGTACATCTGGTAGAATTCAACTACGAATCTATCTGGTTCTGGGCTTTTTTTGTTTTTGTTTTTGGTTGGTAGGCTATTTATTACTGACTCAATTTCAGAACTCATTCTTGGTCTGTTCTGGGATATAATTTATTCCTGGTTCAGTCTTGGAGGGGTGTATGTGTCTAGGATCTTAAACATCTTTTCTAGGCTTTCTAGTTTGTGTGCATAGAGGTGCTCATAATTGTCTCATTTTTGGGTGTTTCTGTATGGTAGGTGGAAATATCCTCTGTGTCACGTCTGATTGTGTTTATTTGGATCTTTCTTCTTTTATT